CACCGCTCCGGGCACAGGGACCTCCCAATACGAGAGGTTTTATCAACGCCAGCCTTCACTGTACTCATTAAGATGCCCCAGAAAAGATGTGAAATTTGAAATAATTTCCCTGCCAGTGTTTTCACACCTCGGAGAAGAGCTCCGAGGCCACACAACAGGAGGCAAGAAAGTAGTGCGGTAGTCTCAGCTCAGATAAAAGCTTGACTATACACCTCACCTCCAGGGCACACCTCCCATCTCCACTCCCTCAGTGAAGCTAAGTTTTAAACAAAAGCCACAATACATTTGGTTACATCATCACCATTAATAAACAAAAGGGATTTATACCACTGTTTATCTGCTAAAGTTATCTGCAGTTTGCCTGAGCCCTGTGCTCTTCCCTTAAAGCCATCCCTCCTTCCAGAGGAAGCATGGAAATATCCAGAGATCTGACTTCCCCCCAAAATGGAGCAAAGCATTTCAGATTTTTAAAGCCACATTAAGTGTTAAATCTAGATGGATAATAAATATAAGTTCTCCATTTCCTCTGCTCATGCTCTTGGGTACTACAATAGGCTGTTGGAGCAACCCTGAAAGTCAATTTTAGCTTCTGCTTTACCCATCAACCTAATTTTACATTTATGAGTTGGATTACACTGTAATTTTCAATCAACCAGACAGCCAGATTTTTGCAATTACATTTATTCTAGATATAGCAAGACTTAAATCTTATTGAAAGCAGCTACATCCATTGATTGTACATAATCTTCAAAAGCTGTTATTCTCTCTTCCAGCATATCTGTTCCAACTTTATCATCTTCAACAACGCACTGGATCTGAAGCTTTTTGATACCGTAGCCAACCGGTACCAGCTTGGCTGGAAAAAAAAAAAAAAAGGAAAAAAGTATTTAGTACTTCTTGATTGGTGGAATCCCTTAAAAATGCAGATCCAGTAAAACTGAACTGACCAAAGCAGTTTGCAAGAATCCATTAAAAATGTAATTTGTTCCATATTAATCAACCACCCAGCATTTATTGCAAGGTGGTCAAAAAAGGCTTGTTTTTTTTGTGGTTTTCCCTGGCAGCCCCCTCCAAACCAGTGACACGGATGTACAGGTGCTTGCTTACTGCACCAGGAACTGTGCAGGGAGATAAACAACAGCAGAGCCAAAGTTTTAAGGCTTTTAAAACCTGCATTTGAATCTCAACCTGGCTGCTGCACTAATCTCCACGGTCAGTGTGTGAATAGGTAGACTTGTGGTCACCGCTATCTTGAGACCACCCCATCTCCCCTCTCCCTGCTTTGAGGTTTTCTCCTACTTACAAGATCCCCAGACCAAGCCATCTGCTTGAATGCTTCGGACACACTCCTCGAGCTTGGCCATGTCTGTCTCATCATCCCAAGGTTTCACATCAAGCAAGATCGATGATTTGGCAACAACAGCTGGTTCTGGGGGAAAGAACAGCACCATTAAAACCTAAGACGTTTTTAAAAACTCGCAAGTGTCCTTGTAAAGTAGCTTTACAAGAACTTTTCCAGTTTCATCAAGAACCTCCTCATACAGCTGTGACAGGCCCCTCATACCAATATACATTTCAACAGAACTTAAGCTATGCGTGTCCCAGTGTTCAAGATGCAGATACACATGACACGTTCTTGAGGAAACAATCTCATAAGAAAACATAAATGATGCTGCTAACATTGTTTGTTACATAGGAAGTCCTTTTCAGAGGACCTGAGAAGGAGCTTAATGCTGTGTAACAGTTTATTTTCCACAGAGGGAATCCTGCAACTGCTACAGTTCTGAACAGTTCCAGACCAGTAGCTGTGGAGGGACCTGCATATTGCAGCCTTTGCTCTAAAGGTTTGAAGAAAATCCTGGAGTACATCCATTTATATGGATAGCTCAGCCTCTGGGTAAGACAAACAAGAGTGTTTTAAGCAGGACAAAAAAAAAAAAATATCTATGTTAAGGTGTCCATTTGCTATAGGAAAGGCTAAGCTCACAGGCAATTCAAGTGAAGCTAATTACTCGTCTCACTTCAGTCATTTATCTGTTGCAGTTAGTGTTTCTAGCCATCCTGATCAAATACACAAAAGTTAACCCAACCACAAAATATTAGGAGGTTCTTGGTAGACATACTTTTGGATTTCTTTGATTCATACTGGGCCAGACGTTCTTCCCTCAGTTTCTTTGCTTCCTCACTTTCCTGAAAGAGAAATCCAAAGTCACAAGCAGAAAAGCACCAAAACCCCTGCATCTTTAAAGTGTTACCAAATTAAATTGACTGGCATGTGCTCAGGCAAAAACAAATCATCACAACTGTCAGCCGAAAGATGGTGATTTTTTGTTTTATTCATCATGTAACCAGTCAAAGTTAAAAGTAGACAGTTCACCCCACTGCAACACATTCCCTTCTAACTCTTTTACCTTCCAAGCTTTTCTGTTCTATTGAGACAGCTAATTCAGGAATTCTAAGTAGAATCTGGTATCAAATTTAAGTCACTTAAACTAGTAAGACAAAAATCTGCATATCTGGTATTTCTAAAAAAAAACCAAATATACAAAAAAGTCACAAGTACCTCCTCATCATCAGATCCAAAAAGATCAATGTCATCATCATCTTTGCTATCTGTGGCTGCACCTGTTGTGTCCTCAACATCAGCGGGACCGTATTTCCCCAAAGCCTTCTTTACTCCTGGCAAGCTGGAAGAAAACAGCAGATATTAGGAACCTACTCAAATGTCAACACAAATACTGCCAATTTGTCAATGAACCTACAAGTGCCTTAACAGTAAAAATGCTGTGCTAAAAAAAGTATCTAATTCTGCTACAAAACCCCCCCCCCCCAACACAATCCCCAGTGCTCCTGATGAGATGCTAATTGAGGCTACAGCAAATCCCTGTGTTGCTGCTCCACCTAGATTTTTCTAGCCATGTACCCTTCTTAATGGAATAATTTACTTGCACTATATTCAATGTAGGAAGAGTTATCAACTTCTTGTTCATGCTTCCCTAAAAGTATTTTTGTTTAAAAAATAATAGTGACAGAAAACATGTTGGTGCAAGTGACTTTGGAAGTGTCAGTGAATGCTCTACTCTGGAAGCTGGCTCTCAAAAGCATGTGAGGGACCAGAACCCCATGAATTAATCTTCTCCTATAGCTCATGTACTTCTCAGTAGTCTTCGACTAAGCTCATAGTTCTACTGCTCCTGTGAACTGCTGTTATGAGAGTCATAAAACTAGTTTTACTATTCAGAACCTAGAAGTACTTTCCAGAGTGGACTTTGTGAAGCAGCTTTGTAAACTCAGTCCCCTTTAGCATTGTAAGAGCTCTTGGACTGGTGGCTGGGCCACCCAAATTTACAAGAGTTCCCTCCAAACAGGACTGAGGCACATAGAGGAGGCAGTGTGGCAATACTGACACCACCTGTGCTGTACCTTTTTAGAGAGGCCTGCAGTCTCCATGGTTGTCAATACAGCACCTTTCATGAACACTAAAATCACTAAAAAAGAAAAAAGATAAAATTTGCTTTTATATTTCCCTGTCTTTATATGTGCTTCTACAATGCAAAGAACTGATTTTATCTTCCAGAACTAAAAACCCTGAACAAACCACTTTCCTTATTTATCAACTGCATAGTGTATATTTATCTTTAAAGACTCCTGTAATACTTTCTAATCCATTTTGGTGTTAGCTTTATGGGGTCGATTACTGGCAATTTCCAGCTTTCAGCATAGTTATCTGTCTAAACAGCAGCAACAAAACTTGAGTTACACTTACCTTATACGCTTTAGCACAAATCCCAGAACAGAATCATGCTAAATTTTAAATGATAAGTGTAATGTACTAACATCAGAAATCTGCTCCTGTTCCAATGGCAACACAAAAAGCCATACGGTACTAATGAAAAAAGAGTTTTGCCCTAACTCGAAAAAAACAAACGCAACACTTGATAGGCCAGTTCGCGCACACGTTCCAGCGTTCCAGTTTAACCATACCTTGCCTTTTGCTTTTCGTACGACTTAATATGATTGTACCACCGAAGAGCATGAAACAAATCAGCAGGAGGTGGGGCACCGATTGCTTCAAAGACTGCTATATCAGCCTGAGAAGGGACGTACCTGCGGAGAACAAGCCGAAGTTAGCCCCCTTCCTCGGTGCAGGCAGGAGGATGTGAAGCAGCAGCCGCTGAGCGCAGAGACGGCCGCGCCATAGCAGCAGCACCTCGGTGCGGCCTCCCAGGCTGCTGCTGGGCCCAGCGGCGAGCACCGCGGGAACTGCGCGAAACCCGGCGGGCTTGGCGCCTCAGGCGCGCTGAGGCGGCCCAGGAGCGCGGCTCGCTCCGGAGCTCCACCTCCCATGGCGGCCTTAGAGCGGCAGCTGCCGGGGATGGAGACGCAGGCCTGCCCAGAGACTCCCCCGCGCCGCCATGGCCCCCACCCCCTCCCGCAGGCTCCCGTCATGCCAACAGGCCTCATAGCGGCCTAGCCAGGCTCGCCTCCCCCAAGCCCCAGCGCTCCCCCAGCCGCCTCTCACCCCTCGATATAGCTCCTGTCAGCCAGGAAATCATTGAGGACTCGAAGGCCAGCGGCGGACTTAAGGTCCCCGAAGCCCATGACGGCGGCGGCGCGGACGCACACGCTCCCGCCCGCTCCCCGAGCCCGACCGCCGCGCAAAGAGACCCAGCAGCCCCTGCGCCGCCTTTATATAGCGGCACGGCGCTCCAAGAATCTCGGCGCGCATACGTATCCCTCCGCGAGAACGAACCGCGAAGTAGTTCCTCACGGGGTTGGCGGCTCCAATGCAGGGCACGCAGTGGGGGGGACATCAGAGGTGCGGGGGAGGATCGGAGTAATAAATGTGATGTTAACGATAAACTCCAGGAAGTTTTTCTGCATTACGAGGGTATTGTTACATTCCTTGTACTGTCCGCCCTCCCCCCCACCCCCCTTAGCGTAGGCCCCAACGGAAGTTGACGGAGTTGGACGAAGACAGAAGCGGAAGGAGGCGGAAATTGCCGAGGGTGGTGCGTCTGACGGTGGCCGAGAGGGTGCCGACAAAGCGGCGGAAAGTGCCGAGTTTGGCCGACGCTCTGACGGAAATCTCCGAAGCGGCCGGTTCCGAAGGTTGCCGAACGCGCACGTCAGAAAGCGGCGCCGGTCGCGGCGGCTGCCCGCTCCGGAGGTTGCCGAAGGAGGCTGCGGAAAGGGCCGAGGCCGAGGCGCAGGGCAGCCCGAGCAGCGGCGGGGAAGGCCGAGACGCCTCTGCCGCCCGTCCAGGTAGCGGCGGACGCCGCGGCGGGGAGGCCGGCGGGCAGCGGCGTTACGTGGAGGCT